TTTTTGTGTGTTTTAATTTTAGTTTTAATTTTATTTGATTTTGTTTATTTCAGGTACTAGTTTATGACTCGTAGTTCTCAACCAGTTCGTGCACATATATCGGAGTTTGACGACAATTTTGAACGAACTTTGAGAAGGAAAAGGAAAGTACCAGAACCTAGTCCACCTAGTTCTAGTTCTGAATCCGAATTTGAAGAAAAGAAGGAGGCAGAAAAAGACATGGAGGTGGACAATCGAACAATCAAAGAACTTTCAGCCTCGGGATTGGACAATGCCGCGCCTCTATGTATCCAATACCCTGCAGCAGCTCGAGGAAAGACAAAAGAATTTGAATTGAAGTCAAGCTTGTTACACCACATTCCGAAGTACCATGGGTTGTCCATGGAAGATCCTAACAAACACTTGAAAGAATTCGAGGTGGTGTGTTCAAGCATGACCCCCGTCAATGTCGATGGGAGTATTTTGAAGATGAAAGCCTTCCCTTTTTCCCTCTTGGAAAAGGCGAAGGATTGGTTGTACGAATTGGCGCCCGGAACCGTCACATCATGGGAAAGCATGAAACGGGCCTTCTTGGAGAAGTTTTTCCCAACTTCTCGAGTCATCCTCCTACAGAAAAGGATAAGTGGAATTCAACAAGAGGAAGGTGAATCTTTTCCTACTTATTATGATCGTTTTAAATCTCTTGTTGCTTCTTGTCCACAACATCAGATGAAGGAGGAACTTCTTTTGCAATACTTCTACGAGGGGCTACTACCTATCGAACGTCAAATGCTAGATGCCTCGGCGGGAGGAGCCTTGGTGGACAAGACCCCCACGGCAGCAAAGATTTTAATTTCCAACCGTGCGTTGAATGCTCAACAATACGAAGGCGTTGGACAAAGGAGTAACCCACGACCACATTAAGTCAATGAGGTAAGTGCCATAACCGAACTTCAAAATCAAATGGCTAACCTTACTACTTTGCTTTCTCAGGTAGTGGAAGGTCTAAAAGTGCAAAACGTGGCAGCTTGTGGCGTGTGTTCCATGCAAGGCCACCTTACGGACAAGTGACCACAGTTGATAGAAAATGGAGGGTTGAGCTTACGGACAAGTACCCTCAATGCCGTGGGATTTGGCAACCAATACCAACCAAAGAATGACCCCTTTTCCAATACTTACAATCCCGGTTGGCGTGATCATCCAAATTTCAAATGGCGAGAACCCCAACAAGGCCAACAACAAAGCGGATTTAGGCAACAACCCCCGGGTTTCTATCAAAGCTGTTTGCACCAACTCAACCCCAAGCACAACCTGCCCAAAAATCAGGTTCGTCTATTGATAATGATCAAATTTTTAATTTACTAACTTCTATGGCACAGGGAATGCAAAATAGGGACAAAAAGGTGGACGAGTTGGAGAAACAAGTAGGGCAAATTGCCGAGTTCATGGGGCAGTTTCGAGAGCAAGGCAGGTTGCCTAGCTCAACCATTGCAAATCCAAAATGAGGCTTTGAATCTGCCAAGGCAATCATGTTAAGAAGCGGGAAACAAGTTGGAACAGCCCCACCACCATCCAAATCAGCCCCAAACAAGGTGGAGGAAGTGATAATTGAAGAGGAGGAACAAGGGTTGGCCACGGCAAGGAAAGAGGTTCCTTTGCCGCAAGTCTCCATGGCTCCTAAGCCATCCAATCTGCCAAATAAAGGTACAACCGTGTCCAATTCCATTCCTACTAATGATTTTCCTTTGAATGTCCCATTTCCTAGTAGGTTCAAGCAAACAAAGAAGAAGAAGCTGAAAAGGACATTCTAGAGACGTTCCGGAAAGTGCAAGTCAATATACCTCTCCTTGACGCAATTAAGCAAGTACCTAGGTACGCCAAGTTTTTGAAGGAACTATGTACAACAAAAAAAAGAATTTCAAACAAAGAGGTTGTCCAGGTGAGTGAGAATGTTTCCGCTGTTTTGCAAAGAAAATTACCTCATAAATGCAAAGATCCGGGAAGTTTTACAATTCCATGTGTTATAGGCAATACCAAATTTGAACATGCTATGTTAGATCTAGGAGCCTCAATTAACGTCATGCCATACTCAATTTATGCATCAATGAACTTAGGAGAACTTAAAAATGATGGTGTTATAATTCAATTAGCCGATTGTTCTAATGCATATCCGAAAGGAGTTTTGGAGGATGTATTGGTGCAGGTGGATAACTTGATATTTCCAGCGGATTTCTACGTTTTAGAGATGGAGGACTCACCAAATGTCACCCCATTGCCGATTCTACTTGGGAGGCCATTCATGAAAACAGCACGCACCAAGATCGATGTGTTCAAAGGGACGTTGATAATGGAATTTGATGGGGAGATTATTAACTTTAACATTTCTGAAGCTATGAAATTTCCTAAAGATGATCATTCTTGTTTTTCTATTGATATATTGGATGAATTGGCGCAGGATTATCTTGATATGTTGGAAGACGATCCACTCGAAACGACAATTGCACAAGGATTTGGCACAAAACCCAACATGGCCGTACCAAATGATGAACATGCCGAGCTTGTGGCTGCCTTGGAATCATTGCCAAAACATCATGGTAAGCCGTCTAAACCCAATTCCAATTCCCGTTTCCACTAATACGTTGTTACCTTCTGTGATTCAGGCCCCCGTTCTTGAGCTTAAAACCGTTGCCGGATCATTTAAAGTATGCATTCTTGGGAGAGGAAGAGACGTTGCCCATCATTGTCTCTTCATCACTCACGGCATTAGAGGAAGAAAAGTTGATTCGGGTGTTGAAAAAGCACAAAACAGCCATCGGATGGACATTGGCCGATATTAAGGGAATTAGCCCTACAACGTGCATGCATCGCATCTTTCTAGAGGAGGGGGCTAAACCAACTCGAGAGGCTCAACGCCGACTCAACCCTCCAGTGATGGAAGTCGTGAAAAAGGAGATTATAAGCTTCTCGATTGTGGGGTGATTTATCCAATTTCGGATAGCCGTTGGGTCTCACCGGTTCAAGTTGTCCCAAAGAAGTCCGGAGTCACTGTGGTGAAGAATGCCGAGGACGAGCTTATGCCAACCCGTATTCAAACAGGTTGGAGAGTATGCATTGACTATAGGAAGCTCAACAATACCACAAGGAAGGACCGCTTTCCACTACCATTCATCGATCAAATGCTAGAAAGGTTAGCCGGTCATTCTTTTTATTGTTTTCTTGACGGTTATTCGGGATATAATCAAATTGTCATAGCTCCGGAAGACCAAGAAAAGACCACCTTCACGTGCCCATTTGGTACTTTTGCTTACCGCCGCATGCCATTCGGTTTATGCAATGCATCGGCCACGTTCCAACGATGCATGGTAAGTATTTTTTCAGATTTTATTGAGAAGATTATTGAGGTATTCATGGATGATTTTAGTGTCTTTGGCGATTCGTTTGATGGTTGCTTGGAAAATCTCACATTAATCTTAAAACGATGCATGGAAACTAACCTCGTTTTAAATTGGGAAAAGTGTCACTTTATGGTAAAACAAGGCATAGTTTTAGGGCATATTATCTCTGAAAACGGCATTGAGGTGGATAAATACAAAATAGATCTAGTACGTCACTTACCCTCCCCGACTTCGGTTAGAGAGGTTCGTTCGTTTCTTGGTCATGCAGGATTTTATCGTAGGTTTATCAAAGATTTTTCGAAGATAGCACAACCTCTTTGCCGTCTCCTACAAAAAGAAGTGGCGTTTGAATTCACCAAGGAGTGCACGGCATCATTCAATCAACTCAAGGAGTTGTTAACCACGGCACCCATCATTGTTCCACCAGATTGGAGCCTACCTTTCGAGCTTATGTGCGATGCGTCCGACTACGCTTTAGGGGCTGTTTTGGGACAAAGGAAGGACAAAAAGCCACACGTCATCTACTATGCCTCACGGACGTTGAATGATGCACAATTGAACTATTCCACCACAGAAAAAGAACTTCTTGCCGTTGTTTTTGCTTTAGATAAATTTAGATCATATCTAATTGGTACTAAAGTAATTGTTTTCACTGACCATGCAGCATTGAAGTACTTGCTCACCAAAAAGGAGGCCAAGCCACGGCTAATTCGGTGGATGTTGCTACTTCAAGAGTTCGACATAGAGATTCGTGACAAGAAGGGAAGTGAGAACGTAGTGGCTGACCACTTGAGCCGAATGGTGCATAATGAGGAGGCTTTGCCGATTTTGGAGACATTCCCCGATGAACAATTGCTGTCCATAAAGGTTAGTGAGCCTTGGTATGCTGATTTGGTGAACTTTTTGGTGACAAAACGAATTCCAAGCACTTGCACTAGGCACCAACGTGATAAACTTAGGCATGATGCACGGTTTTATGTGTGGGATGATCCATATTTGTGGAAATTTTGCCCGGATCAAATTGTTCGTCGTTGTGTGCATGATTCTGAATTTCGTTCAATTTTAAGTTTTTGTCACACATATGCATGTGGTGGGCACTTTGGCACACAAAGAACTGCCCTTAAGGTATTACAATGTGGATTTTATTGGCCTAGTATTTTTAAGGATGCTAGAACTTTTTGCTTAACATGTGATAAATGCCAACGAATGGGTAACATTGGTGCTAGGGACCAAATGCCGCAGGTTTCTATCCTAAATGTTGAAATTTTCGATGTTTGGGGTATTGATTTTATGGGTCCCTTTCCTTCTTCGTATGGTTTTATATATATTTTTCTTGCAGTTGATTATGTGTCAAAGTGGGTGGAAGCAAAGGCCACCCGGACTAATGATTCTAAAGTGGTTGCAGATTTTATTAGAACTAACATTTTTGCAAGGTTTGGCATGCCACGAGTGATCATTAGTGATGGAGGGTCACACTTTTGCAACCGGACCATTGAGGCGTTATTGAGGAAATACAATGTCAATCATAAGGTTTCTACGCCTTATCATCCTCAAACTAATGGTCAAGCCGAGGTTTCCAACCGTGAGATCAAGCAAATCCTAGAGAAGACCGTTGGGCCAACGAGGATGGATTGGAGTTTACGGTTAGATGATGCACTTTGGGCGTATCGTACGGCGTACAAGACACCCGTTGGAATGTCCCCATTTCGGCTTGTCTATGGCAAACCGTGCCATCTCCCCGTTGAGTTGGAACACAAAGCTCATTGGGCCGTCAAGAAGTTTAACCTGAACCTCGATGAAGCGGGAAGTCACCGGAAGTTCCAATTGAATGAGCTTGATGAGATACGGAACGAGGCATACGAGAATGCAAGCATTTACAAGGAAAAGACCAAGGCGTTCCATGATAAGATGATTAGAGGCAAAACGTTCGCAATTGGGCAGAAAGTGCTATTGTTCAATTCCCGTTTACGTTTGTTTCCCGGTAAGTTACGTTCCAAGTGGATTGGACCTTTTGTTATTACTAATGTTTTTGTTCATGGTGCAGTCCAAATCCAAAGCTTGAAAACGGGACACGAATTCAAGGTGAACGGGCATCGGTTGAAGCCGTACTACGAGAACTTTGAGGAGCATACCGTGGATGACACTCCCTTGCATGTCGTGGACTCCATTGAGGAGTGAATGGGTTCTTCGTCCGGCTGTACGACGTTAAAGCAAGCGCTACTTGGAAGGCAACCTATGCATGCAACAAAGGAAAACCTCGAGAGCACTCCAAATTCCAGATTTGCGTTCCTACACCCTTCTCTTTGTTGTTGTTTTCATTTATGCCATGTTACATTGCTTAGTTGCTGTTTTGTTTGTTTGTTTGTTATTTGTGTTAGTCTATGCTTGAAACATTGAGGACAATGTTTGATTTAAGTGTGGGGGGGTAACCAAAGTGTTTTGATACAAATTCGTAGGGTTTTCTCACTCATAATTTCTAATGTTGTTTTTCACTGTTTTTAAGCCTTTTTAAGCTGTTTTGGTGTGTTTTAGTGTGTTTGAGTCAAAAATCCGAAAATCCCATAAAAATTTGAAAAATTGTTTTAAAAACCCAAAAAGAGCTGCATTGTGGAGTTTGAATTTGGTATGAGCATATGGTGTCACTGGTTCTCGCATCTAAGTAGTAGCATTTCATTCATGAGATCATATCTAAACATGCTTGTTAACTCCAGAAATTGCGTTCTTTGTGATACATATGAGTAGTGAAGGTTGCTTGTCACAATCGCGTTAATTGAATTCTTGCCAAACGTATCATACATTCATAGTTACAATTGCCTCGTCAACACTTATGATTTTCATTGAACGTAATGATCTCTGATTGTATCTCTATTATGCATTCATATAGGGGACTTTTAGAGAATAATTTGGATTGTCGCATGCATTCATCCAATTCAATAAGTAAAGGAAAATCTGAGGGTTAATTTGTGCATCACGGTCAATCTGGGGTGTTGAGCATCATAGTTTATTGAAAAGCAATTGGAAATCGATTCATGTACAAGTGTGTCATGTGTGAAGAACGGACCTCTAACTAATCCATCCATCATCTTATTTCTCAAATTCGTTTTATAATCTGCCTAAAATCTATTCAAGTTTTAGTTTATTTGTTTTACTTTCAACTTCACCAAACCCAAATCCCCCTTTTACTTTCTTGTTTTAAAAGTCTTTTGTTTACATTTTTAACTTTGTTTTGTTTTTGAGTCAGTTTAGAGGTTTTAGCAAGCCCTCCTAATCCCCGGTTTAGAACGATCCCTACTTATACATATACTACAATTGTCAAAAGAGGGTTTAATTTGTGTGCTTATATTATTCGCATCATGCATCTCGTAGGATTATTTCATCATTTCCTAACAATAAGGTATTTCTTATAAACATTAATTTAATCATGGCAATCGCATAAATAATTTAGGGTAAATCTCAATTTACTACCCTCATGTTTCGTGGTTTTCAACATTTAGTACATCAAGTTTTTTTCATTCCAGAGTCATACCTAAAGTGTTAATTTTGGGACAATCTCATACATTTGTTAGTCAAAATGTTAAGTCTGCCGTTAACTGATGACGTGGTGCCTATGTGGACAATGACTAGGCGCCACATGTCCTTAAGGGGTCCACATGGATTTTTTTTTTGGGAAAGGGTTCAAAAAAAATAAATAAATAAATAAACCCTGTCTTCTACCTCCCCCAACCCCCCCTGGCACCTTCTCCCTCCCTTCTCTCTTTTGCAACCCGCACCCCTTCCCTCCCTTCTCTCTTCCTTCCTCCCTTATCCCTCCATTCTCTCCTCTGCACCAACCCACCAAACCCTCATCTCCTCTGCACCACCCTCCTTTCTCTCCACCGAATCAAAACCCTAATTTAAAACCAAAAAAACAATCCTCAACATTTGCAACTACCAAACAAACAAAAAATGTACAATTCGAAGAAAGATTCATAATTGACACCAAATTTTACCCTAAATCACAAAAAAAAAAATTTGAAAAATTAAAGAGATTGAGAATCGAACGAAAGAATACCTGCAGCGAGCTTCAAAAATGAAATTGACCAGCAGAGCACGGAGGTGCGAGAATACCTGCAGGGTGCAGGTTGCAAAAGAGAGAAGGGAGGGAGAGGGTTGCGGGGGGTTGGGGGAGGTAGAAGACAGGTTTTTTTTTTTTTTTTGAATCCCTTCTCAAAAAAAAAAAAATCCACATGGACCCCTTAGGGATGGGCAACGGTTATGACAGGTGGGTAACCGCGGTTATTTACCCATAACCGTTTATGCTCATACCCGCATAACCGTTTACCCGTTGGGTAATTGCCTAAACGGTTATACCTATACCCATAACCGTTTATAAACGGTTAACCATATCCATTTAACCATAATCGTTTAATACTCATTTACCCTTTTTAACCCGTTTATCTTTTTTTTTACCATTACCCCTTTTTCACCCGTCAACATGTTTTTTAACAACTTGAAAATAAATAAATAAATTGTCACAATTTTCTTTTTCTTTAACAATTAAACACCGTTATAGGTACATTCATCATACAATTCTGTATTTTAATTTTTTTAAGTCCCTATACCATTCCAATAATTGAAATAATAATTTACGAACGATATTTTTAATTGATATAGAATGAAAAAGCAAGAAAATTAGTTTTAAAAACAAATTTCCTCATATTTCTAAGTTATCTCAAGATTGTGGTGCCCTTTATTCCTGATTTTGAAGACGCTAGGGACTTCACCGTAACAGATAGATTGAAGACTTGCGTTGTAAATAAATTTTACATGTATGTATATACTATTGCCTATTGTATGTATACTTAAAACTTTCTACATAATTTATATAATTTTAGAACCGACAGCATCGTGTGGGCAGGCAGGGCCGGTCCAGAGATTTTTGAGGCCCGGGGCGACGTAAAAAAAGTGCCCTAACTTCATGTAAGAAAATTATTTATTTTCACACCTAAGACATCGAAAAAATTATACTTAGAAAAACACTTCAAACTCAATAATTTAGAAACACAGAAAAACTAATTTATTTTGTATTGAGAGAGGGAAACAAAAAAACTTCGGCCTTACAAGTAGATAGATGATGAGTTTTGTTTTCCATTTGAACTTTGAATGTGTTTTTGAATAATGATGTTTTCGAGTCTTACTAAATTAAACATTTTGATGACACGTCATATAATTTGCAAATTTGGTCTACGTATTATTCTTTGTTGAAGATTAGACTTGAATTAAAACGAATATTTAAAAATAACAACCCACATAGCTACTAGATAGTAACTAAAAATAAATTACCAACCAAACAAAAATTTGTAAAAATTGAAAAGAATAAACATGCACATAGCATTTCGAACTTAGAACCTCTTGTTAATTTTAAACAACAAAAACAATTGTTTCTAATTAAACTTCTTGATCCTATAACCAAATTTTCTAAATTTATACTCTTATAAAAAGAAATTTGTAAAAAAAAAGGAAAGTAAATAAGCACACATGTTTTGAACCCAAGACCTCCTTATTATTTTCAAATGACAAACCACCACTTCTAGTTAAATTTCTGTCTTTGAATCAAATTTTATAAATTTATACTCTTATAAAAACATATATAAATATACCGACCTAATAATTTTGGTGCCCCTAATTTTTTTGGGCCCTGGACGATCGCCCCTCCTGCACTGGGCCTGGGCCGGCCCTGTGGGCAGGCTTTCTAGTGCATGTACTACAACTACATGTCCGTTAAGATCCCTAGAGGGATCGTCGCTGTGATTACAGCTTGTTCAAAAAACAAAGTTTATGGAAGAAACAATCTCTTTAATACAATTGTCGACCAATATCATCTACGTAAAGTTTGGACACCTTGCTCGAATGATTTTTCAAGCTCAAATCAGCTCTACTCAGCTTGTTTGTAAACCGAAATCTAGATTTTGGTAGGTTGGCTCAGCTCAATTTTTGGATGAGTTCAAACTTATGTTTTGCCCAACGTAATGAAAATTAAAAAATAATTAAATAAACAAAATAACAAACCATTGATATTTTGAAATTGTTCTGGGTTACAATTGCTTGCACATTGAAGGGGACTCTGGTTTAGGCATTAGGTCTTGAATGGTTAATCAAGATTTTTTTGTATGGCTAATACTTGCATTCCTCTCTTAGGGAGATGACATTATTTCCCACTTATATACAACATATCTTCACCAGAAAAACTTCAAAATAAAAAATGCTCACTTTTTTAATCTTCTTTTGAAGATCATCCTACAAGAAATTATTCGAAACATCATTTAGTCATTCAAATGTTTCAAGCAAGTCAATGGTGTACGTACCAAATAGCATATTTATAAAAACAGCTATTTACAAGTGAGGGAATGGGCTTATCTCCCAAGTGGGAAGTGCAAGCATTATTTTGTGTGTGTTTACATTGACAATAGAGGATGCTTTATTGCAAACATGTTTCGATTATCGACGGATTCTTGAAAACATAGTTAAATAGTCTAACATAATATTTTAATCATTGTTAAGAAGAGTAACGGAAAAAGGAGGTTAAATTTCAAGTAGAAACATTTTGCAGCCGATGGAAAGTTTCCATTTTTTTGCACCTTCCAGTGTTGGAGTATGAATGAATTTGTTGATTTCTTGGTGTTTAAGAAAAGTTAGATTATTAGGTATTTGGGTTGTTGTTGATAGTATCACAGTCTTATAGGACATGTTGATAAATTCGGTTCACATTATGTATATGTGGTTCATGAATTGTAATTGTGCCATTTGTCCTAGTCTTATAAGATGATGAAATGTAAGGCTGAGATTCACTACAAGAAAACAGGTTTGTAGTGACCAATTTTTTAGGACCATATGAAAAAAAGTCACTAATATAGTATGAATCTAGTAACAATTTGCTAACAGGTCACTAAGCTCAGTTTTGAACATTTAATGACCTAATTTTAGTGACCTAATTAAAATTAGATCACAATAAATAAGTTGATTTATAATTAGCGGTCAATAATAAAAAATGAGAATGAATCTTTTTATCAGATATGAATATACTATTAGATTTCGTGTACAAGGTCCCTATTAAGGGTAATGCTATGGAGACTAAATTTGTAGATTAAATTTTGGAAACTAAAGGACATGGAAATTGATGATTGGTTTATTACTTAAAC